GATAAGGGCATGAGCCCTTTGGGGCATCCAAATTTTTCGAAGAAAGGGAGTTATGAATGCTTCAAGGATGGACTTAGGTCAAGACTATAATCCAAGTTGGTTATGAAAAAATTGTCACACACGTGTGCCATCCACCCGCCGAGCCAGGTCCATGGGTCTTGAAGGTTAGGTTTGGGTTGGGCTGAATTAGTTGTCCACCAACCTAACCTTTTTGAGCCAAGTCTACTACAGATATACACACTTGTGTATACATAAAATATATCTCAGATATTTTTTCCCATCAATTTTGGTCCATTACTCCAGTAATTTTTGTACAAGTAATGGCCATTAATTGCCAGCCTTCATGGGCATTAGTTGCTAGCCTTCATGGCTGGAGACTCCTCCTCTCTCCTCCATGGTGAATAAAATGAGACCCATCTCCTTTAGTTTTTGTACAGAATTTTTTGCTATAATATATTTTTCCTGTGTGAGAGAGTGATGCCATTGTCAGTACGCCAAAGATAACAGAAGGTGTTTCTATATTAGCTAGTCTAAACCATCTTATCCTGGGAGACATAAGTTAACATTCCTCCAGCACCCACGGTGAGGCGACTAATCTGTTTTAAGAACACTGTGGTATCACATAGAATTTAGTTTGATTCCTTATTTTCAATATTTTGATTCCATATGTATTCATGTTAATCATGTTTCATGTTATGTAATTTAACTGAGTAAATACGAATCGATTTGTTTTAATTAATTCACAAATTTACACAACAATCTTAAAACAGATCATATATACTTTCCCATCAATTATGTATTAGGATATATAGATTCATATCACTTAAACCATATTATATGTTACTGTTTTGCGTAATCTACTTACTGCTTGAGTTTCCGGCAAATAGGAGTTCCATATATTTTTTTTCTCCAAACTGTTCACTGTGAATTGCTTTTGCTTTCAAATTCAATTTGGTTTATTTAGTATAGGCCACTATTATATATTCATAGAGCATGATTATAATCAATTTAATATGAATGCTGCTATTTTGCTTTCCATGTGGGTCTATCATATATGGTATAATTTTTTTTTTTTACGAAATAAAATAAAATAATTTTTTTTGTATATATGCTTAAGCCCATTGTTCAGTGGTTATATGCAATATTTGTTCAAGTTTAACAAAATGTGCATGATTTACTTGTGTTTTAGTTTTATAATTTTAGATGCTTATGAATTTTGACATTTTGTAGTTGATGGGTCGTTGAACACACTAAAATTAAATACTAAACTATACCAAATTCAATCAGAATAATGGTAAGTCCTGGTATCGATCTACAGGGACTATTGTGAAATTAAACTAATTTAATTGTCAAATTCCTAAATTAATTTTGATAAAAAGATTGGTTGTTTATAACCTAATTTAATAACGAATAAATTAAACTAATGAATTAAATTATCAAGAATAAATGAAATTGGATTTACTAAATTGGGGAAAAATCCTAGGGTAGAGAATTCACCACTAACCACATAATTAGGGATTCCAATTGAAATTAATTATGTTATGGTTTGAACGGATTAATGCTTCGCAACTACAAGCTCAAAGCATTTAACAAGAAGATTATCACATTCAATGTACGAGCACGAACCATCTCAAGTAATACGAATCGTTCACTCTAAACTAGGGTAGTGATATGACTCGTTCCTCGTAACATGGTTCGTCCCATTCCTTGAATGTGAAGGAATAGAAAACTTATGTATGGATAATATTCAACAATCACAGAAGGTCAAATATTTGAAAAGATAATGAAAATTATATATAAAGAATTTCTAAAACACCATGGTTCAAACCTTTACATAATATAAAATCAAAAAAGAAAACTACATAATTACATGGCTAGGGTTTCATCAAAACCCTAGAAAAGAAGACTAGCCACTCATGGAGGAGTGGAAGGAGGTAGAAGGAGAAGGAACAACCATGGGAGACATCTTTGAAGCTTCTTGTTTCTTCCTCTTTTGCAAACCCTAGCCTTCCTCTTTAGGTCAAAACAATTTCAGAACCCTAATCTAGCCTTTTACTTGCCTTTTTATGCTTCCAATCTCATCCAAACAGGTTTAAAACGTCGGTTTGACTTTCCCAGAAAAAGTCAACGCACGTGCGGGAAGTCAACGCACGTGCGGAAAAAGTCAACGCACGTGCGGGAAAGTCAACTCTGCCCAAATTCTGTCTTTTTGCTCATTTTATGCTCCAACGATATACAACCTGATTGACACTCAACACACATAAAATATACAGTTTGATCAGCAAGTGAAGTTAAGAGATTCTAATTAACGGCCTCAATGACACACATTTCGGCCTTAATCAAGCGGGCCAAAATTGGACTAGTAAGTAGGGGTGTTCAGCGGATATTTCGATTTGTCCAAACCGATCGAATCAACCGATCTGCCACATTTTGGACGGATGTGTGATGATGAGTGGACAATTGCAGATTGATTTTTTTCAATCTACCTAGTTTTGAACGGATGGCAGACTTGAGATTCCTTTGGTTGCAACCAAACCGCCAAACCACAGTCACTCCTAGTAATTTGTAAGACTTTGTATTTTCAATTTGTTTAGATATTCTGTTTGTATTTTCAATTGAAAAAAGTTTAGATATTCTGTTTCGGGCTGAGCAAGGAATCCGTATAATCCATAATCCAATCCGGTCTAGTCCAATCCGGTAAGATTGGATTCGTTTTTTTAATCCGTGGTTTGGTTCTGGATTAAAAATTTTAAAAACCATAGGTCACGAATCAATTCTGGATTGAACCTTACGGTTCTGGATTGGAACTGATACGGACCGTGTACATTTAGTCTATATTTACACCATATACCCTCCCACACAATTTCATTTCTTGTTTTATATAAAAGCTAAACACTAACCCTAATTCACCTCACACGCCGCTCAGCTCACTCATTCATTGCTACCTCTCACATTCTCATCTCTCTCTCTCTTTTCTTTCTCAAACACTCTCTGATGATCCATCTTCGATCATTATGCATCTTCGATCATCTATCTCAGATCTTCAACCTTACACGCTGCTCGCTCACTCACTCACTACCTCTCACACTCTCATCTCTCTCTCTTGGTACTCTCTCTCTCTTTTCTCTTTCTCAGACACTCTCAGATCCTTCATCTCCGATTATCATCCACCTCAGATCATCTATCTTAGATCGGTAGCTCTCTCTCTCTCTCTCTCTCTCTCTCTCTCTCTCTCGGTGAGCTCCCTCTCTCTCTCTCTCTATATATATATATATATATGTATATATTATATTTTGTTTTTGTGAGAATCATGTTCTGTTTGCTGATTTTTCCATCCCTATATTTGTCACATTTGATGAATAAATCTGTTTGATGATTTTTCCATCTTGAGTTTTTATGTCTTTGATGATGAATAACATTTTTGATCTATTTGATTGCTTTGCTTTTTAAGCTATATTATTATTTAATAACTCTTATATTTTGTTTTTGTGGGAATCATGTTCTGATTTTTCCAACCCCAGATTTGTCACATTTGATGAATGTACTGTGCTATCTTGTTTTTAAGCCATATTATTATTTTGTCAAATTTGATGAATGTTTTGTTCTATCATGTTCTGTTATATTTTGTCACATTTAATACAATCCAACACTCTGCTTTGTGTAATGTATATCTAGTTTTAGGAGAACTCTACTGTGGTTATGTTTTTTAGAAATTAAAATGTTTTATATTTTTTTGTTATTTAAATATGTGAATCCATGATCCTAAACTGATCCAATCCATGTTTAAACGAATTTGTTCAGATTGGTTCCACGATTTAAATAGATTGGATTGGTTCCAATTTTTCAGAAACCGTAGATAACGGATTGGTCCTAGTTTTATCCCAATCCGAACCAATCTGGACCATGCTCACCCTTAATTCTGTTGTGTTTTCAATTTATTTTCAATTTGAAAATTCTTTTATCAAATGACAAGTGTTGAAATTTGGTATTTTTTTTTGTGGAAAATATAAGACTTAATTTTGTCATTTTTTTTAAAATCAAATTAAATAATTTTGATTAAAAAAAGTAATGAAATAGTTTTAATAATGCATGATTTTCTTATATGTATTTATTATTGGTATTTAACAATTTACTTGATAATCCTTTGGTTATGTTGAATTGGATTGTTATCTAAAAAAATGTTGACAAGTTGCTATATTACGTTCAAAATTTATAAAAATTTAAACTGCTAAACCTATTAACATCCATTCACCAATCAATTCAATCTGCATCTGTCAATCCAATGAATAAATGCGAATTAATTTTTTTTAATCTGATGAATTGATAACGAATTTAAAATTTTTCGATCACAATTGAATCGCGAGCACCGAGATTGGTAAGGAAGTCCTTTTTAAACTTTGAGGTAAAAGTACATGCTTGGTTTGAAAAGAAAGGACTTGGGAAGACTTCTACAAATTGGTTTGTATAACATCACATGTAGCCCATGCATGGCTGTCCAAATTACATTAATGACATAAAAGTAAAAAAATTATACAAAGTCTTTAACTACATTGATGCCACATACTTAGCCTTTATCATTTTAAACTGAAAGACACAGTTGAAATAATTTTTATTTGAAAAAATATTATTAACATATTTTTTATATAAATACTACATATACAAATTTTGTAAAATTTGTACTTTAGACTTTTGCCTTACCTTTCTCTCATTATTGGGGTTGCTTGGCGGTCAAGGTTTGAAATTTGATGGAGTGCTCAATTTGGAATTGATTTTTGTATGAATCGGTCCATTAGGTCCGATACTGAGTTAATTTTTATTTTACTTTTTATTTTTATGATATGCAATCTTCATATCCACGTCATGATGGCCTGTGTGTTTGTGATCAAGTGGTCGTAGGTTGACCAAGTGGACATCTATAAATTGTTCCGAGTGTGCAACACATTAATGGCTACGTAGTGGACTGGCGTATAATTTAGCAAGTGGGCATGGCTTATACGTAGTGGACTGGTGGTGGTGGCGGAGGCGGTGGTGTTGGAGGAGGATCAGGCCAAGGTGGTGGATTTGGAGCTGGTGGAGGAGTAGGAGGAAGTGGAGGTGGTGGCGTTGGTGGGTTTGGTGCTGGTGGAGGCTTAGGAGGCGGAGCTGGTTGGTGGCAGCTTTGGCAGCGGCGGAGGTGGGCGGTAAAATGTCGTTAAGTTGCATAAATGATTAAGACAGTCTTCGCTAAGTTGTAAAATAGCTCTGAGTTACTGTAAACTGTATTACTGCCAACCCCTAATGAAAAGGATGTTTTTTTTTTAAAAGTAATTTTTTGGTTGGGGAATGAAAGGGTTTGCTTGTCACCGAGAGATATGCCTGTTTTTCCTCTATTCTTTTCTCAAATAATACATTACATCTCACTTTCCCAGTCTTAATCATGGTGGCAACTCACAAAACTTAACTAAAATGTTTAATATACAAACAATAAATATATATTGATAATTCATGCAGAATATCTAACAAATTTATGAGCTTGTCAATTTCATTAAAATGCTTCTTATTATTAAAATTGCTACTGACACATTTTCTAGTGAATACTGTATGAAAATTCTGAAGGAAAAAAATAAAAAAATTAACAACTTCGCTTATAATAAAATTTGGAATACTAATACTATATTTTTAACTAAAAGTCTATCAAATTGTTTGAACTTTGTAATTAAGAATTATGATTTTATTTTTTTTCCTAATAATCCTGAATCCCATAAAAAATATATATATATGTAGTAAATCAGTTGAACACAACTTTGCTTTAAAAAAAATGGTGGTTCTGCTAAGCCCATCGTTGTTTCATCTTTTCTCCAGGCTAAGGCACACGTTGTTGGGTTTTCATAGGGATCAGACTGGGCCAGGCCTAAGTTAATACCAAAAAATAAATAAAAACACTTATTAGTAAATCTCATATACAAAGTTTAAAACTCATCTAATTCCAAAACCAAACGCCTGCACCATATTTTTAACTGTTACCAAAAAATCTTTTTATATATATATATATATATAAATTTAAAAACGCTGTTACATCCCACCGTCGTTGGACTTCTGTTAGACAGTTAACGGAGACTCACCGAAATGTTTAACATAACTGGAAAGTTCATTAGAGTATAGTCAAAAGTTCACTGGAGTGTTCTAAACGTCATTGGAAGTCGCCGAAATGTCCATAATGGTTGCTAGACGTCAAGAAAATCATTGGCTATTCACCGGAATGTCCATAATATTGCTGAGAAAAAAAAAAGAATAAATGAAGAAATTGCAGTGAAAAAATATAACAAAATGTGTTAAATATTGATAACTTGAAAAAAAAAAAAAAAAAACAGCAACAACAACAACAACAACAACAACAATGGGAAAAATATATTATTTTTAATTTTTGTAGGGTTTAAGCAAATATTCTCCAATATTGATCAAATTGAAAAGCAAGTTTTGAAACTGTAAAATGTTAAAGTTTCAAAGTATGATTCTATTAAGCATTTGTTCTTATTAATCAAACTGAAAAATATGTTATAAAATTGTAAAATTTTACAGTTCTAAAGAATGTTATAAAACTGTAAAATTTTACAATTTTAAAGCATGATTCATTTCAGCACAAAAAAATTGAAACCGTAAAATTTTATAGTTTTTATTGCCTGTAACTAAAATTCGAAAATAATTTGTTCAAAATTTTAAAATTTTCTCCATTAAAATAGGAAAATAGAAGCGTGTAGCATAGAAAAAGGTAGAAAAATTAAGAGATCGAAAGAGAAAAACAGATATATAGAGAAGATTGTACTTCGACAACTATTTTTGGTTTAAATATAGTCTATTCTAATGCAGATTTACATAAGATTTGAGTAGATCTACTCATCTTCATCGCCGAAAATTTGTCTTCATCGCCGTCAGCGAGGGTGAAGTAAGGAATCGGTGGTCAGTGGTTGCTAGTGAACCCCAATCAATGGTAGTTGTCGGTTGCCAATGACTATGGCCTTTTTTGGGAAGTGGATTAAAAGCCACTTTCCAGCTTTTAACTTATTTTAGATCATATCATCCCTCATATATATATATATATATATATATACTTTACATGCTTTTTAAAAAAAAAACCAAAAAGTCAATTTTTAATCATCTTCTCAAAACACTCCTATATGTTAGAAAGAGAAAGAGAAAGAGAAATAGTAAGGCGTGATTGTCAGTCGCCAGAAAGGAAATGAAAGAGACAGAAAATAATGAATACACAAAGAAGAATGAAAAAAAAAATACACAGTAAACTATTGAGAGTATCCAAAAAGTTGTGAGTCAGTAGACTTTCCCTCTTTTAAATAAAACTTCCAGGTAATTTGCCCCAAAAAATTTGTGTCCAAATCCGGCCTTAAAATGATATATTACAATTTTGTTTTATAAGGAACCAAGGACAAGTATATAAAAAAAATTACAAATAAAAATACAAGCAACATTCGTGTACGGGAAAGAAATAAACCTTCTCGTATAATCCTGTTGATCAAGTCTGCGCTCCTCTGTACGTCGTCGCTTTATCACCTGAAAATACAAACATGAGTTAGCCGGCGGGTGTGTGCCGAAAACCTCTCCGATGCCTAAGTCAGCAAGCTTGACAAATAGACAAAAGCTCTGTGTATTCAGAAAGCAAAGTTGTGTGTTACCTCTCCAAAGGTGATGTTTGTGAGCTCTTATAGGTTTCGTGTGGCACAATCTTAGTAGGACTTTTACTTCTCCATGCAGAGTCCTCCTAGGATTTATACTCCTGAAAGATAATGCTTATCCTTCAACACCCCCCTCACTGCTTAAACCAAGTGAGATGGTTTTATCATGGCCGAACTCCAATATGACCGAAGTAAACATGACTATGCATAGCCGCAGAATAAGCCGAACTAGCTCTTCCTTTTTCTGCTCTTACATCGGCTTCTCATGCACAACCCATGGCGTGGTTAGACCGAACTAACATGTCATGACCGGTGTAACTCCAAGACCGGTCTAACTCCAAAGTATCGTTAGACCGATCTAACTTCGATCTTCTGTCGGACCGGACTAGCTTCACGACCTTAGGACCGGGCTAACTTCAAAATATCTACACGACCGGAGTAACTTACATGGCCATTTTACTCGGCCCTTTGTACTGCGGCTCATAACGGCCCATTATCCAGCTCGGCCCAATTTTCACATAAATTACCCTCTCAATTGCCCCTTAATTCCATCTGCCTAGCATGATTGGGATTATCAGTCAACCAACCGAGCTATAAATTTTCAGTCTTTCCAACCGAGCTATAGATTTTTAGCCTATCCAGCCGAGATACTTTCACACCGAGCTCTGGCTGTCCGGTAGTAACGTCTCTTCAATCACAGAGACTGATACGCTTCCCATTCTAATGGCACGTGGCATGCTCTGATTGACAGAGGACGGCTGTCACGCCGTCTTCGTACTTCATGAAATTTGAACAGTCCCACCTTTTTCCCTTTACCTAAAACGAGCCTCTTCATTTTGACACACTTTGCAACTTTTCCCTCTCTGAGCCTCCATTGTTTCTTCAACTTCTGAGCTCGTGTTCTCCATAGCTGTTATTCTCTCTCCAGCTCTTGCCTCTTCATCGGGTAAGCACTGTACATCTACTTTGTTTTCGTATTTTGTTTTCTGTGTTTTTGCAAAACATATTTTTCCATTTCGCTTTGCTCTGTGCTTTTCTGGAAAAAACTTAACAATAGAACACATGAGTACAAGTAATATCCTGTAGAAAACTAGTTTTCGATCCAAAATCATGATGCAACCGAACTAGGACACTATTTAAGCGAGGTAAAAGTCTAGTCAGTTTACAACTGGACTAACACTTCATGTTTACACCAATAGTTTTAATAAGTCAAACCACCTCTTGCGTTACCTCAGCCGAGGTAACCAACCGAACTAAGTTTGCACTTAGCATACTGAGATACCTGAACTCCAACCGATCTAGGCCTTTGGGGCTAAACTAGCTTTCTTAGTTTTTTAGACGGAACTCAGAAAGCTGCCCCTAGACGATCAACCGGTCAAACAGAATTGTTTCCACAACCGAGATATCGAGACGCTTGCCAAGGCCGAGCTAATAAAAGTCCTGCTCAAACCGAGCTACCAATCACCTTGCAGAAACTGAGACAGAACCTGTAGCATCCCACACAGTCGAAGTAGGACTTTTTTTTATCTTGCTTTTAATTTGTAGCACAGCCCAATGATCTGTGCTTAACACCTTTGTTCTTCACTTTGCAGACTTAGGTTGCCCAGGTACTCCTCTACGCGCTCAACCGAGCTACTGAGCACAATTTTTGGACCGAACTAATTTATTCATAAATTATACAATAAATGGGGAAGTATAGGTTTCTAGTAGAGACGCCAGGTGGTCTAGCCGAATTCTGAAAAGATTACAATATACCTGACGACGTCCACCTAATCTTAGCCGAAAAAGATGTCATACCTTGGGGCAACCAGGCTTTGTACCCTTTGCCCTTCTTTCAATAATAGAAACCGGGCTAAGATTCCCAGTTCAACCCCTTATTTGTGAATTCCTTAGGCAAACCAGACTATGTCCAACCCAGCTTTCCACCAACTCCTACCGTATAATAATGGGTATAGCCGAACTAAACCGCCAAGCAAGCATCAACCTCAGTCTAGCCAAAATCTTCCATCAGTATTCCATAGGTTCGAAGGAAGACGGCTAGGTGTACTATCTTAGAATACACTGTCGACGTGAGAAAATAATAAAAAACACACCGGATAAAGACTTGAATGACGACGATTTTTTCTAGGTGTCTGGGAGCTTTGAGGATCACCAAGCCCAGATTCCTGGCCGAAGCATTAATTGGAAAAAAGGAACACCTGGTATAATTACTTCGGTTTTTCTTGCGTGTTTTACTATATTTCGGTTTTCAATTTTCAGCCGAGCTAACAGTTGTCTTCTTTTGTAGATTCTGCCCACCTCCATTCTCTATACAGCTACCCAAATCTAGCGACCTTGCGCGCCGCACTACGGTATCCAGAACGTAGTTGGGCCAAGCTGCTAAAGTTCGAACCGACCTATAGATACAGCGGCCGCCGAAAAGCGAGAGTGACCGACTTTCTGCTAGAGGAGGCCCCAGAACCGGACCCAACCTTGCCAGAAATTAGACTAATCCCACTGACCGCTGAAGAAGAAATGGCCAAAAGAAATAGAGTCAGGTCGCTATTGACCGAAACAAACAGACCCGAAGTACCGCCACCAAGCCAAACGCAACAGGTCGTTGTGGCCCTTCCTTCTCAACAGCTTTCTTCATCACGTCAATCCAAGCACGCTCGGTCTACCCCAACTGAGCAGCGTCTAGTGGACGAGCACGAAACCACGCCTCCACCGATTCCACAACCGGAACCTTCTGACCGGGCTGGCTCTTCCAGGTGGGCATCGAAGTTGAAATTTCAGAACCGCCTTATTCAAGATACCGATTCGGTGGTTGCTGAGAAGGATCACTTGATGGCCTTCAATCTTGCCAAGAGTGTCTGCCTTCCAGCAGACATGGAACACCACCAGAACCTGATCGAGCTAAAGGCCATCTGATCGGCCACAAAATCCATGATCCTAGTAAGATGCCCCTCGTCTCTAAATTTTTTTTCCAACTTTCAGTTCGGTTTTGACATTGATTTCTTTCCATTCATTTCAGTCTCTTTAGAAGAGCCAAATTGCCCATCAAAAGGCATTGGAGCTCAGGAAAACGGCTAAGCAGGCCATGGCAGAGATTGAAGAAAAAACAACTGAGCTGAAGAAGTTCCAACAAAGAACGGCTGAGCTAGAGGCTGAGGTAGCTCGTCTAACCGGACTAGTTACCTCGGATGAGGCTGACAAACAGAAGGCATTGATCGTAATGAAAGACAAGTAGCTTCGTGAGCTAGTCAAGCTTGAAGGGAAAAAGGACGCCGAAATAGCCGAACTGAAGAAGAAGGCGGGAGATGCCAACGCCGAAGGTTTCAAGGAGGCGGAAGGCCTCTACATTCCACAATGTGAGGGAGCGAAAGATTTATTCTTCAAGTGCGGCTGGAAAAGTGCTGTGGAGCAGCTCGGCTGTGGGCCTGAAACTGAGGTTTATAATGCTCCTCAATATTTCATTCCGGCCTCACTAGCGGAGTATACTGCTTCTATCCAACAACAATTTTTGCAGGGTTCAGATGATGAAGATGAAGAAATTGAGCCAACTGTTACTCCGGTAGTCAACGAGCAAGGCAACGATCAATCAGCTCGGTTGGAGCCAACGGTTGAAGACCTGACTGTTGAGCCGTCGACTGACATCGTTCTGCCAGTTGCTACTGAGACTGATCTTCCATCTGCAACCGGTGTTCAAGTTGACATTGACGCCGACCTTGAAGACCTTTTCACTTGATTCTGTACTTTCTTTTCTTTGTTACTTTTTGCTCTTATAACCGGGCTATGGCCCCCCCTTTGTAATTGCCCTTTGATGAATGAAAAATTTCTTGTTTTGAACTCTTATTTCGGTTGATCTGTATGTTTGTGCTTGCAATGACTTTTCCATGATCTTTTCACTTCCAACTGTTATCTCGGTTTAATTTCCTGTTTGAGCTTGCCTTCTTGATAGTATTGTGGCCGTGATACTTTAATCTGGTCTCAGCTGAGTAATCTGACTGAGCTATCCAGCCAACCACTTTTTAGTCGATGTCCTTACTTCGGCTAAAGAGTATTAAGAGTTGGTTTAATCTAGCCAACCACTCTTTAGCCGATGTCCTTACTTCGGCTAAAGAGTACAAAGAGTTGGTTTAATCCAGCCAACCACACTTTAGCCGATATCCTTACTTCGGCTAAAGAGTAACAGAGAGTTGGTTTAATCCAACCAACCACTCTTTAGCCGATGTCCTCACTTCGGCTAAAGAGTACCAAGAGTTGGTTTAATCCAGCCAACCACACTTTAGCCGATGTCCTCACTTCGGCTAAAGAGTACCAAGAGTTGGTTTTATCCAGCCAACCACTCTTTAGCCGATGTCCTTACTTCGGCTAAAGAGTACTTAGAGTTGGTTTAATCCAGCCAACCTCTACATTGGTTTTTCTAGCCAACCTTTAGATTGGTTTTTCCAGCCAACCTAAAGTAAAATGTTTGGTTATTCCGACCAAACGTCCTACAGCCTGGATCTTTATCCTGGGCTTAGGAAGGGTGTTGGTTTAATCCAGCCAACCTTTAGATTGGTTTTTCCAGCCAACCTAAAGTAAAATGTTTGGTTATTCCGACCAAACGTCCTGCAGCCTGGATCCTTATCCTAGGCTTAGGAAGGGTGTTGGTTTAATCCAGTCAACCTCTAAGTTGATTTTTCCAGCCAACCTAAAGTAAAATGTTTGCAATGTTCCTATCTTCACTAAAACTAATTTTTACAGAAAACAACTATGCTGAAAAGAATCGACTTGTTTAATTGAGGAAGGAAAAAATTACACATGTTTGAAAGAGGAAAGCTAAAAATAAAATAACTTGAGATTGGCGATGTTCCATGGCCTAGGGATTGCTTTGCCGTCCTTGTCTTCTGGGTGGTATGCCCCTTTGCCTGCTAACCCAACCACTTTGTATGGACCTTCTCAATTAGGCCCTAGCTTGCCATCTCCTAGTACCTAGGTGTTTCCCATCACTTTGCGCAGTACCCAATCGCCGATCTTGAATTGTCTTGGATGCACTGTCTTATTGTATTTCCTGGATAACTCTTGTTGATATGAGGCAATGTGAACTAGTGCTCTTTCTCTTCTTTCTTCTGCAAGGTCGAGTTCCAATGTTATGGCTTCGCCGTTTAAGTCTAGATCAAAATTTTCGCTTCGAATTGTGGGGAGGCCAACTTCTAGTGGGATTACTGCTTCCATACCGTAGGCTAAGGAGAATGGCGTTTCTCCTGTTGACCGCCGAGGTGTGGTGCGGTAAGCCCATAAACACATGAGGAAGCTCTTCCGTCCATTTGCCTTTGGCTTTCTCCAACCTTTTCTTCAACCCATCTAAGACTACCTTGTTTGAAGCTTCTGCCTGTCCATTTGCTTGGGGATATGCCGGTGTAGAATTATAGAACTCTATCTTGTATTCTTCACAAAAGCCTCTGAAGATTCTGCCGTCGAACTGAGTGCTATTGTCTGAGATTAGGGCTTTTGGTATGCCAAACCGAGTGATGATGTTTTGCCAGACGAACTTCTTCACATCTTTTTCCTTGATTGATGCCAATGCTTCTGCTTCCACCCACTTTGTGAAGTAGTCTGTTGCTGCGAGAAAGAACTTCCTGTTGCCAGGTGCTGTTGGAAGTGGTCCTACTATGTCCAAGCCCCACATTGCGAAAGACCATGGGCTAGTCAGTGGTAGGAGTTTTCTAGCTGGTTGATGTATTTGGTGTGCGAATTTTTAGCATTTCTCGCACTTCTTCACATATTTCTCTGAGTCTGCCTGCATGTATGGCCACCAGTATCCTTGCGAAATGGCCCTGTAAGCTAGCGATCTTCCTCCTTGATGGCTTCCGCACACCCCTTCGTGTATCTCGTATAAGAATGCTTCCACTTTGCTGGGGTGGACACACTTTAAATAGGGTCCTGAGAATGACTTTTTGTATAATGCCAGAGATGGGGAGAGCCAAAATCGCTGTGACTTTGCTCTAATTTTGTTAGCTTCTTTCTTTTCTTCCGGTAGGATGCCATCTTTCAAGAATAGTATGATGGGATCCATCCATGAGGGGCCTAGATCGGCGCAGCATACTTCTTCTGCTTCGGGGTCTTTAATGCTTGGTCTTGGTAAGTGGTCGATGAGCAAGGGATGAGGGATGTATGTATCTGCCATTGAAGCAAAGCCTGCTAGTTTGTCTGCTCTGCCGTTCTCTTCCCTGCCTATCTGTTCTATCCTCACTACTTCAAATTTCTTGATCTCTGTTCTGATCAATTCTTGGTACTTGGCCATCCTATCATCCTTTGCTTCATAGTCGCCAGAAATTTGGTTTACCACCAACTGTGAGTCGCTGTAGACCATTAATTCAGTGGCCTTCATGTAGTATGCTGATTTGAGTCCTGTAAGAAGTGCTTCATACTCCGTTTCGTTGTTTGATGCTGGAAAGCCAAGGTTGATTGCTTGCTCCACAATTAGGCCGTTGGGTGAGATGAGGACTATGCCAAGTCCTGCACCATGCCGGTTGGATGCTCCATCCACAAAGAGCTTTCACATCTCACCAACGAACAACTTCCAGCAAGTAGAAGGGTCGGATGATGTCGTGGGGTCAAGAATGTTGCCGGTGTTTTCTTCAAGGTCCATGCTTGTTGTCTGCCCCTCGCTATCTGATTGTACCAAGTCTTTATTTGTTGGTGAGTCTTGGTTTGTTTCTTCCTTGCTGTCTTTGGTCTGGTCTACCTTGGAGTCTGACTGAGCACCTTCTGCTAGGGGTTGTGCTATTCCGGCGTCAACTTCCATCCCTAGTTTGGTTGCGTTAGTTAGGTCGACTGGGCAGATATGATGACTTCCAGGAGTAAACTCTGCGACGAAGTCTGCCAAAGATTGGGCCTTTACTGCAGTTCTAGGTTGGAACTTCACGTCGAATTGTCCTAACTCTACTGCCCACTTCAAAATTCGCCCAGAAAAGTTCGCCCTCTCAAACAAAGCTTTTAGTGGGAAAGCTGTGAGGACGACTATAGTGTGGGCGTGAAAGTAGTGTGCCAATTTCCTGGAGGCTATCATCAAGGCTAATGCCAGTTTTTCCAGTGGCAAATACCTTGTTTCGGCTCCCAGCAATGTCTTGCTAACATAATAGATGGGCAGATGTTGAATTCCTTCTGCACGGACCAACATTGCGCTAATTGCGTGCTGAGAGACTGCCAGGTACAAGAAGAGTTCTTCTCCTGGTATTGGGGTGACCAACAATGGTGGAGAGGACATGTATTCTTTTAAGCTTTCCAGAGCTTGGTCGCATTCTTCGTCCCATTCGAACTTGGCTTTTAAAGCTTGAAAGAATGGTCGTAGTCTGTCTGACGATCGGCTTATGAACCGATTGAGTGCAGCTGCCATGCCGGTGAGATGCTGTACTTCTTTTACTGAGTTTGGTCTCTCCAAATCCTGAATTGCTTTGATTTGGGAGGGGTCCGCTTCTATGCCCCGGTTGGTCACAAGGAAGCCTAGGAATTTGCCAGATCCTACTCCGAATGCACACTTAGATGCATTGAGGCCCAACTTGTGCTTCTTCAGGATTTCAAACATCTCTCCTAGGTCCTTGAGATGGTCATTCTCATCCTTGCTTTTGACCACCATGTCGTCGATGTAAGCCTCCATCGTTCTTCCTAACAATGGTTCAAACATCTTGGTGACCATTCGTTGGAATGTTGCCCTTGCGTTCTTCAGGCCAAAGGGCATGACCTTGTAACAGTATAGTTCTCTCGGAGTTATAAAGGATGTGACCTCCTGGTCTGGTTCATGCATGGAGATTTGGTGGTAGCCTCTGTATGCATCCAGAAAGCTAAGTCGGTTGTGCCCCGCCGTTAGGTCTACCAGTTGATCTATTCGTGGTAGAGGAAAGCTGTCTTTTGGGCACGCCTTGTTGACTGTTTTATAGTCGACGCAGACACGCCATTTGCCATTCTTTTTTGGCACTACGACTGTGTTGGAGATCCATCTTGGGTAGTGCACTTATCTAATTGCTCCTGCCTCCAGCAGGTTACCTGCTTCTTCCGCCATTACCTCGGCGTGGTGGAGTGCCGATCTGCGTATGCGTTGGATGATTGGTCTGGCGGATGGGTGGACATTAAGTTGGTGATAGATGAAGTTTGGATCAATGCCTGACATGTCGTAAGGCGTCCAAGCGAACACTTCGATGTTAGAGGTTAAGAATTCCAATACCTCTAATCTCTCAGTGCTGGACA